AAAACAATGTTCCGCAGAAAACGAGGATTAATAAAAAACAATGTTCCACAGAAAACAAGGATTAATAAAAAACAATGTTCTGCAGAAAACGAGGATTAATAAAAAACAATGTTCCGCAGAACAGCTCATTTAAACCATCTAGAAAACACCAGCCACTCTTTATGCCCCCCATAGGAAGTTTCTCTGTATTTATACATTTGTTTGGGGGGTTTTATGCAATATTTCAGTAATTATTCAATATTTTATTATTTTTACTGTTGGGAGTTGTTGCAGACGCCTCGAAGTGTGAAGCTTTTCCAAAACAAGTCAAGATGATTTTATTCTTCCCGTCAGGTTCTAATATTTGGCCTTAAAGTTTACTGGCCCTGCCTCCAAACTTGTAAATTTTATCAAAAAAATATTTAGAATTGATGCTTTTTTCCTAGAAAATATTTATGTCGAGATAAAACCACCATTGAAGAACCGCACCAGTGAAGCTCGTTCTGGCAGTTATGAAACGGTCCAGCGCCGCCTGGTGGTCATTGGACCACATTACATGAGCTTAAACTGGGACGAGCTGTTCTGGGACCTCTTTCATTCAACCTTTATTCTACAGGCTGGTCCCATTGAGACACGAGGACTCATTTACAAGAGAGACCTGTTCCAGACAACATAAGCACAGAGAACAAGAACGGTACACAATGACAACAAACTACAGTAAAAAGGTGCATCAGTGTTTGGTGCAATGGACGGAAAGTTGCCCTGCATCATTTAGCATCGAGTTCATACTCGTAGATGATTTGGTCAACTTTGTTCTTAACACGAGGGAGTTCTGAGATTTAAGTCCAAACTGTTAAAGCAAGGTAAGGACCTAACCTCAGGTCATCTGGACAGATTAATAATAATTTCATAATTGTTGAAAACTTTCGTCTTTTATCCAAAAGACTTCTTCAGTCTGAGGAGCTGCAAAAAACAATCTTATACAGGTGCTGGTCATAAAATGAGGATATCATGAAAAAGTTGGTTTATTTCAGTAATTCCATTCAAAAAGTGAAACTTCTTTATTATATTCATTCATCACTCACAGACTGATATATTTCAAATGTTTATTTATTTTAATGTTGATGATTAGAACTGACAACTAATGAAAACCCCAAATTCAGTATCTCAGAAAATTAGAATATTACTTTAAGACCGAAAAAAAAAAAAAAAAAAAAAAAAAGATTTTTAGAAATGTTGGCCAAATGAAAAGTATGAACATAAAGTATGATCATGTTCAGCATCAGTACTTAGTTGTTGCTCCTTGTATCTGGATCTCTGGATCTCTGCATCGTGTCATGGAGTGGATCAGTCTGTGTCTCTGCTCAGGTTCTGAGAGTCCAGGTTGTTCTGATCGTGGCCTTCAGCTCTTCTCAATTGTTGGCTCTGATGCATCATCTTCCTCTTCACAATACTCCATAGATCTTCTATGGGGTTCAGGTGAGTTTGCTGGACAGTTAAGAACTGGGACACCATGGTCCTTAAACCAGGTACTGGTATCTTTGGCACTGTGTGCAGGGGCCAAGTCCTGTTGGAAAATGAAATGTGCATCTCCATAAAGTTGGTCAGCAGCAGGAAGCAGGAAGTCTAAAACTTCCTGGCAGACGGCTGCGTTGACCTTTGACCTCAGAAAACACAGTGGACCAACACCAGCAGATGACATGGCCCCTCAAAACCACCACTGACTGCTGAAACTTGACACTGGACCTCAAGCAACGTGGATTCTGTGCCTCTCCTCTTCCTCCAGGACCTTGATTTACAAATGAAATGCAAAATGTACTTTCATCAGAGAACAGAACTTTGGACCACTCGGCAGCAGTCCCAGGTGAGACGCTTCTGATGCTGTCGCTTGTTCAAGAGTGGCTTGAAACAAGGAATGCGACCGCTGAAACTGATGTCTTGCATACGTCTGTGCGTGGTGGTTCTTGAAGCACTGACTCCAGCTGCAGTCCACTCTTTGTGAATCTCCCCCACATTTTGGAATGGGTTTTGATCACCATCCTCTCCAGGTGCAGTTATACCACTGCTTGTGCACGTTTTTCTACCACATGGTTTCCTTCCCTCCACCTCTCCATTAATGTGCTTGGACACAGAACTCTATGAACAGCCAGCCTCTTTAACAATGACCTTTTGTGTCTTGTCCTCCTTGTGCAAGGTGTCAATGGTCGTCTTTTGGACAACTGTCCAGTCAGCAGTCTTCTCCATGATTGTGTAGCTACAGAACCAGACTGAGACCATTTAAAGGTCTTTGCAGGTGTTTTGAGTTAATCAGCTGATTAGACTGTGGCACCAGGTGTGTTCAGTATTAAACCTTTTCACAATATTCTAATTTTCTGAGATACTGAATTTGGGGTTTTCATTAGTTATCAGTTCTAATCATCAACATTAAAAGAAATAAACATTTATATCAGTCTGTGAGTAATGAATGAATATAATAAAGTAGTTTCACTTTTTGAATGGAATTCCTGAAATAAACCAACTTTTTCATGATATTCTCATTTTATGAGCAGCACCTGTAAATGGCACCTTCTCATAGTGGATCAGCCAGTTTGTCGACCAGCTGTTTACATGATAAACCATTTTATTTATGGAGCCCTTTCCAGCAGCTAAAATGTGCACAAAGTGCTACACAATACACAAGTTAAAAACAAGAATAAAGAAGTTAAAAACAAGAAGAATAAAAAACCAGACAGCTAAAATTTAAAAACAAACAATTAAAACTTAGCAAGATTGCCAAAGAACTTGTAGGTATTAAAAGCGTGCCTGAATAAAAAGGTTTTAAGTTTAGACAAAATGCTCCATGTCAGTGATGGAGCGCACGTCCTGAGGTAGATGGTTCCAGAGTCTGGGTGCAACGACAGAAGAAGAGTACTGGATGTGTTCTCCTATGTTCATGAATAAGATCAGTCAGATACAGTGGGGCAAGACCACAGAGCTTTAAAAGAGAATAATAAAATGTTGAATTTTATTCTAAAATCAGGTGGAAGCCAGTGGATACAGTGATAAAGGAGGACCAGCAGCCTAACTAATCGATCGTCGGCGCTCCGATGGCTGCTTGCTATTCGCAGAGGGCTGAGAGGTCACAGTCACAGTGTGGGACAACAACAGCGACTCTGTACTGCAGAACCGTTTCACGTACAGAACAGCAGATCTTCAGAGGCTGCTGTAAATGAGGGAGAGCTGGATCTGGAGGAAATCATCTGTTGTCCTGGGATACATCAGCAAGTGCGCTGATGATGTCACCACCACCAGGACTGAAGTGCTACACAAACCAGAAACTCTGGCTGAATGCAGGTCCATACCCTGCTGAAAACCAGGGACACTGCCTTCAGGTCTGGTGACTCCCAGGAACTGGGAGGACAAGGAAAGAGCTGACTGCTGGTACAAAGAGGGCCAAAGCAACATATGCACTGAAGATCCAGGGACATTTCTCCTCACAGGACCTACGAAGCATATGGAGGGGCATCAAGTGTGAAACCGGCTGGGAATCTGTTTTAAAGTTGCATTATAGGTTTTTGAAAGTGGAAATCTGAGGCCTCCTCTGTTAAAAGCCGTCTCTTAACAGAGGTCTCAGATTTCCACTTCCAAAAACCTATAATGCAACTTTAAAACAGATTCCCAGCCGGTTTCACACTTGATGGGAACAGAGGGGCCTCGTCTGTGAATTAGAGGAACAAAGACCTACTGTTAAGGTGTTTAGGTGTGACTTGTCAAATCTACATGTGTGTGTGTCTTATCTCACTCAGCCTCTGAACCTAAACCTCTCACTCTCTGCTCTTTGAATTGAGAAAGCTCCTTGGATGAGGAGCGAAACATTTTCTGCTACAAATTAAGTCCAGTTGTTTTTGTATTGAACACTTTTTGAATTCCTGGTGGACAAACTACTCGCACTAGGACTAAGTCCCTCCATTTGCAACTAGGTCCTGGACTTCTTTAAACAGACCTCAGTCAGTGAGGATCCACAACTCCTCCTCCACCATAACCGTCAGCACTGGCTCCCCTCAGGGATGTGTGCTGAGTCCCCTCCTGTTCACTCTGCTCACGTATGATTGTGCAGCTACCCATCCAGGCTGTCACATTGTAAAGTTTGCAGATGATACAGCGGTGGTGGGATGCATCACAAACAATGATGAGTCCAGCTGCAGGCAGGAGGTGGAACACCTGGAGAGCTGGTGCAGAGAGAATAACCTTCACATCAATGTGAAGAAGACGAAGGAGAGGATTGTGGACTTCAGAAGGAACAAAAACACCTACACCCCTGAACATAAGAGGATCTGCGGTGGAAGTGGTCTCCAGCTACAAGTACTTGGGTGTGCACCTGAACAACAACCTCAGCTGGAGCAACACCACCACCAGCCTGATGAAGAAAGCTCATCAGAGACTCTACTTCCTCAGGCGG